ATCTTAGAAAAGACTGATGCACCCTGCAATTGATCAAACAAATCATCTATTCTTGGAAGGGGATAACGATTCTTCACTGTCGCCTTATTCAACCTCCGGTAGTCAATGCACATTCTCATGGAACCATCTTTCTTCTTGACAAACAAAACCGGTGCACCCCAAGGTGAGATGCTAGGTCGAATAAACCCCTTGTCTAACAATTCTTGCAATTGTTCTTTAAGCTCCTTCAGCTCAATTGGTGCCATTCTATATGGTGCCATTGAAATTGGTGTTGTGCCAGGTACCAATTCAATATCAAACTCTACTTCCCTTTCTGGTGGAAGGCCGGGAAGTTCTTCAGGGAATACATCAGGAAACTCCCTTACCACCTCTACATCCTCAACCTTCTTATCATTTACTACAGTAACTTGAGCAAGAAAGGCTTCACAACCTTCCTTCACTAATCGAAAAGCTTCCATGGCCGAAAGAAAACCATGAGTCTCCTTTTTCTTAATGCCCCGGAATACAACAGGACCTTTATCTGGTGTGTTAAATAACACTTCTTTCTTTTGACAATCCACAACAGCTCCATGTGTTGCCAGAAAGTCCATTCCAAGGATGACATCGAATTCATCAAAAGGTAGCAGAATTAAATCTGCTGCTAGGAAAGCTCCTTCCACACAAATGAAGGAACTTCTAATAACTGAGTCTACCTTCAAGGTATCTCCCACAGGTGTTTTAACACATAAGGTATAGCCTAGCTTATCTGGAACTAAACGTAGCATATGTGCAAACGTATATGACATGAATGAGTGAGAGGAACCAGTATCGATCAAAGCATATAATTGCTTGCCAAGGATAGAAAGCATACCAGTCACAACTTCTGGTGCCACTTCTGCCTCACCTCGAGTCATTGCATAAACCCTCGATGCTCCCTGTGCTCTGGTACCCTGCGTACCACTTCCTGATGGCTGATTTCGACCACCACCTCTACCACCCTGTGAACCACTACGACCACTCTGAAATCCACTACGGCCTCCCTGGTAACCACCCCTGAATGGGGCTCTACTAAATTGCACTGAAGGCTCGGACTGTGTAGCTCTTACTTCTCTCGAATGCGGGCAATCCCTCATGATGTGCCCAGGTTGGCCACACTGAAAGCATACACCAGAAAATCTCCTACACTCTCCAAGATGCCTCTTCTGACAAACTTGACAAAATGGAAATTGTGTGGCTGAGGAAATTGGTGCCCTGTATGATGTTCCTGACATAGATTGACTCGGTGTTCTCCCAAAACTGCTAGGACCTCTCCTGGGTGGGTAACGAGGTCCAGCATAATTTACTCCAAACTTCCTCTTCTTCTCCTCTTCTTTGGCCTTGTGTTCCTCTCGGCTCTCAACTTCATAGGCTTCATACTTAAGTGCTGCCTCCTTGATTGTGGCCATGCTCTCTTCATCAACCCTGTGGATCTTTTCTTTCAATCCTATGCGCAGACCATGCAAGTATCTCATCTTCTTCTTATGCTCAGTATCCGCCAACCCATCCTCAAAGTAAAGCAGTCGAACAAACTTGATGGTGTACTCAGTAACTGTCATATTCTCCTGCTTAAGGTTGGAAAATTCATTGTTCTTTGCCCTGATAAAAGCTTCGGGAAGAAACTCTGTCTTAAAGGCCTTCAGAAACTCCTCCCAGGTGAACTGAACTCGTTCACCATTAACTCTAGAGACTAAGGACCACCAGCTCCTCGCATACCCCTTTAGGAGAAAAACAACATACTGCACTTTTTCCTCTGGGGTTGCATAAAGATACTCAAACACATCTTCCATCTCTCTCAACCACTCTACTACAGCATCTGGGCTCACATCTCCCTTAAAGTCCCTACCACCCAAACTCTTCATCTTTGCATAATCTAATACTGGCGGTCTTGCATCAACCGCCCCCACTCCTCTCGACTGGTCAGTAGGAACATTTTCACAACTTCCGTGCGAGCTACAAGGAAATATTGGCCTTAGATTGATCCACACAAAATTCATTCTTCACCAAATCTCTCACTTGGTTAAAACAAAAATTTTCCCAAAATAATTACTCGAAAACAAATAAGTTCAAAACTCAATTTTTGAAAACCATGATGCAGGTAATTTCATCCAATATACCAATACACATAATCATATCAAATTCAATTCCCAGTTTAAGTCATTATGGGGTACTCCCCTCCTTAGGAGTGTTTAGCCTCCCATAGGATATAGTACGCCATAACAGCAAAAAGAGGGAACCGGGCTCTGATACCAAACTGTAACACCCTATCCTATACGTATTACCTAATCATATTGTTCATACAATTGCAGCGGAATTAATCTCGGGTGTTACATTAATTATCAAAATTTATCTAAATAAAATTTCGACATGAATTACTCGCGTAATGGGCTAACAGTTCTTGCAACTTGTCCTGCAAAATAATTTATCACAAACATATATACTCACAACCATAAGCATTGGCTTTCCATAGCCATAGTCACAGTTTCATACTCCGCAACTGCATACCTTACTAATACATGTCATAGTCATCACAACTTACACAGTTACACAACATATACACATATCCTCAACTTTCCACACCTGTGGATATCTCACACTACATTCGAAGCTAGTATGCACATGAAAATGTTCTCAAAACATTTTTACAAAAAGGGTGTGGATCACTGGCCAAAATCCCAAGTAGTAGTCCAAGCACCAAATAGTTGAAGACCATACCTCATCCTGGCTTCAACTCTAGCTCCTCTCCCACCTAACACTTATCTACTGCTGCTGCTGATGATCTGCTTACACATAGCATAAGCAGAGAAGAAAAATAAAAGAGGGTCAGCTCATAGCTGAGTGAGATAATCATCGCATAGTGAGTTCATAACAGAGCATACCCCTACTATACATCTAGCAGACAAGCCAAAACACTAGGATCGGACCTCAGCCATCCTCATATCCCAATAAGCAAAAGACTCAACCACTTTGACTTATGCATATGCATCTTATCATGTTTTACTTATAGGCGCCTGGCTACTCCCATGCTAATAACTCTCCCGGGAAACATACCCCACATCCCGTCGGATGTAGTCATACATACCCCAACATCCCGTCGGATGTGGTCATACATACCCCACACCACTATGGGTGTAGTCATACCCCGACACCACTCTGGGTGTGGTCATATCTCATAAGAGTTCTTCAGTCACCACCACATGAGAGGTGTGACTATCATACATATCATAATAGAGAATAGCATAGGGAGCCCTAATTACTATGTAATTGACCGTGAGACCACAACCCTCATATTTGGTATCCTTGTACATGGTTCATATCTCATCTTGCTTATTCATAATTCATTACTTGCACATGTACTTGACCAGGCCACCATTGGCTCAACATAGGTAAATCAGGAGTCGCATAATTGCACTTCCTCGGGATAAACCCTCGTGCAAGTCATCCTGCTTAAAACATCATAATATCACCCTGGGAAGTTTATTTCCCCCACTTGTGAATCCAAATACAACCACAATATCACATCATATCAAAACACCTGATCGAACAACCATGAATTCATATCAACGGTTAAGCCACAAATGGCAACATGTATGCAATCATCAACATAAACAAGGTCCATATCGGCTAGGGCAAATCAATAATATCATACAACAGTCCAGGGTTCATCATATAACACAAAAGTCCATACACCCCTAATCATGCCAGTCTAGTTCACCTAGGTCAATTCTAAGCATCAAAATAATTATCGTGATACGACAAACCCGGTATGCCGTGCTAATCCCTCACCAGTTCTGGTCGTTCAAACACCGGTTCTAGCCTCCCGTACTAAAACATCAATTTCACGAACGAACCCCGAATTAAAATCCGAGACCTTCCTAATATCCCCTGCAGTATCCCCGTCAATATTAGTTCTAGGCTCCGGGTCAAATTCTTGATAAAAACACATCAAACCCTGGCCGGAGCTAAATTCAGCGGTTGGACCCCGGCCTAAATAATAGCCGAAAATCAGGAATTAGAACTAGGGGATTGATTACCTCGCTGCAGGAAGCTCGTATATGAAATTTGGGCTCAATCCGGCTTCCGGATACTCCGAAACCCTAATTTGGCAGATCAGGAATTCAAGAAATTCCTGAACCAAAAACTCGTTTTAAAGCTCTAAATCGATAAAACACGATGTATAGATGAATTAGGCATTACTTACGGGATTTTTGGATCACTAGGGCTCAAGATTTTGAGCTTTGGAATTTTGGGTCGAGAGCTCCGCGCGTGCTCTGTTTCTCTCGTTTCTCTCGGAAATGGAAGAAGAAGGAAGAAATGGACAGGGAATTGGGACGAGATGGATTTATAAATCCATAAGGGCCGTGTAATTAAATACATATATATATATATAATTAATACGTATACTTATCCGATCGATAATCCGATTTTCGCCGAAATAGTGTCGAAATGCTCGATTTTAAATCGCGAACTTTCTAACGATCGAAATATGGGTTTTAGCCGAAATGGGATGTTACATAAAGTATCATAGTTGAGGACATGAATGAAATATTTGATACAATAAGACACAAGTGGTATTTTTTCGACAGTTTGAGTTTTGTACTTTGTAATTAGTTGAACGAAGTAGTGGTTGACAGCTATCAACCTAGGAAGGGTACTTAAGATATCCTTTGAGTTGTTATGGGTATCAGAAATACAATAACCAACTTCCCCTCTAACTTTCCTCTCTCCTTCTTTCCCTCTTCTTTATATGCAACTCTTCTTTTTCTCTTCTACTATCCCATTTGAGTTGATCCAGAGAATAGGGTTGGAGACGGGAAGAGAGAGAGGATCTTTTTGGTTTTAGGGTAGAAGGAGAGATGGATAATCATCTATGAAAGAGTAGCAATCATATTCTTTAAATTTTTTGTTTTCAAAATTATCCCAAAACAATTTTGTTTGCCAATTAAGAAAAGGAAGGGTAAATGAACGGTGCACAAGAAGTTTGTCATCGTAACCTATTTCTATTGTTTAAGATATTCAACACATGTACTTAATAGAGCACTTCTACTATGCTATATAGTATTGGTGTTTTAATGTACAATTTGAAGTTGTATCATAACATTAAATGTATAAGTTTAGGTTGTACCATAAACAAATTTGTACAATTATGTTATGGTACAACTTTACAACTTGTGGTACAACTTTACAACTTGAAGTTGTACCATCACATAAAGATACAAATTTAAGTTGTACCATAAAAGAATTTGTACAAAACGTATAGGTCCAAATTCAAATTGTTATAGGTACAAATTCAAATTGTACCATAACATTAAAGGTACAATTTTAAGTTGTACCATAAAGACAAAAACTTATAACACCAATACTATATAGTATTGTAAAATTCCTCGTCCTAATAACCACATTACCGATCAACTAATTACATGTGATATGGGAATTTAGAATATTCCGTTGGAATTCCATTTTCCATCACTCCCAAAAACAATTCATCATTGAGCAGGGAAAAGATATTCAAATTGTTTTCCCTTTGCCTGCTTCACAATCACCGGAGGGCGGAGACTTGATGATGGATATCAATAATTAAAGACAGCAAAGAAACATAATTAAGAAAGAAAGAAGGAAAGGAAGCTTCCCCAATTTTCGTCGACATCCATTATCATCACTCCACTGTTCAATTCCTTACAAAAAGGGACAAACAGATTCCCATTCCCATTCCAGTCCCCCAACTCTTCCCCTCTTTCTTTCCCATCCTCCCTTTCAGCTAACAATATCATAGAGACTAATTAATTCACCCCACCACTACATTGCTGACCCCCAAAAGCAGATTAATCAATCAAATTCAAACCTCCCTACCAACCCAACCTTCCTTCCTCTGTGGCAAATCCCAAACATGCACCTGTGTGAAGAGCAAAATATGTACTGAGCAATAATCAAATTCGCCACCCGGCCGCCGGCCCCAAAAAACACCCCCTCCGCTAATCAAAACGCCAGACCGACCTCCGATTCCCTCCGGCGCAATTATCATCACGTGGCCACGCCTGGTTCGGCCACGTAGTTTCTTCGGTCCACCTCCTCCCACACCAGCTTGGATGTTACTTCATCATACTCGGGCTCATATTCCTAATAATCATAATTGCATTAACAACGTACATACACTAGTTTAGTAAATTAATTGATCGATCGAGTGGGACACCACTTTTCTTCCTTAAAACTAATTAATGCCATTAAGCAATTATTGTGAAATGGTGTAGGAATTATAGCGACATCATTCAACATCGATCTGTTACCCCATCCATGCTGGGTTTGATAAAAAATGTGTAGGAATACTAGCCACTTTTTACACTATTTAATTTAATTGGTTTCTTGGAGTTTGAGATGAACCAGCTAAAAATGTGTATGTACGTACCTCAAGTTGCCTGACTAATTCTTTGGCTGTTGGTGCAGACACGATAATGCGACGTGCCATCGGCGAGATGAACCCTTCATCCACAGCTTTATCGATGAAACTCAATAATGAATTATAGTATCCATCCACGTTCAACAATCCCACCTGCGTGCCACGTTCAACAATGAATATTCTTGAAACCCATGCGTGAATAATAAGTTGTGAATCAAATATATAAATCAATTGGCACTTAGCAACATTCGGGCGCATTCAAATCGGACCATTCAATAAAAAACATGCACATCTTTTGGTGTGTTAAGTTACAATCTTTGATCCATGTGAACTAATTGAGAAGGCGCAAGACACATGTGTCTGATTCGCAAGTTGCCGCTTGCCATCACAACACCCCAATTCCGTTCCACACACACAAACGTATCTTTGATTTTATGGATTAGTTCAGTATATTTGATTAATTAACTGATAATCATGTGGTGGAACATGATTAAGATATGCCGTCAAACGATCCACCACTTAATTACGCAAAATTAAGTGCTGAGAGATCGGACAGCCGTGTACTCAAGGAAGTATTACTAATTAATTAAGTTTTTTTGGGTGGCTAATGGTTATTATATGTAACAATAATCATCATCAGAGGACAGACAGACAGTCAACATGACATCATGTGATCACTTTAGACCACCTAACAGAGCTTTTTAGAATCAGTTATTCTATTGAACTGAATTCGCATCAGCAAGGTTAGCGAGAAATATTGCGATGACTATGTGAAAAGAAAGCAGCAATTAATGAAAAAGGGGAGAGCGTACGGGCTTGCGATGGATGCCAAGCTGAGCCCACGTAATGACCTCAAGCAGTTCCTCCAGGGTTCCGTAGCCTCCTGCAGATCCATTGATTATGGTAATTATACAAATAGATTGTCGGTTTTTCAGGTGACATTATCAGTCAATAAATAAATTTATTAATAATAATAATAATAATTAACGATGATGTAAAGTAAATAGAGAATGGAGTGGAGGGATGGGGCACCTCACCTGGCAAGGCGATGAAGGCGTCGGCTTGGCGTGCCATTTCGGCTTTCCTTTGGTGCATATCTGATACAGCTCTAACCTCTCCAACCGACTGCCCCGTTATCTGCAACCCACAAAACCCAATTTTTTCATTAAAATAACAACTCCTCTAGTTTCTGATTAATTTATGTGTGTGTTGGTGCTTTCGCAAGACAAGACATGTTACGTTACTCTCCCGCCACTACGCAACTCTGGCAGTTGCTTGCTTATCAGTACGAATGAGTGTCCAAACAACTGAAGGAAAGCTAACGCGCGTTACTATTCAATTCAATTCAATGTACTCCCCCACGATAAAGGGGTTTTGCACATATTATTATATTAATATAGCAGCTAACGTAACCTAGAAAAAGATGTATGTATCTTGCAGAAATGTCATCTTCTTCATTGTGAACAAACCAAAAGTTATTCATGTAATAACCTTAACCCAATATTGAAGATGCTATGTACCTCTATCGGCATTAGGGTCCTCGGAATAACTCTGCACAGAAAAGGAAGAAGAAAAAATAAAACAGCCAAAAGATTAGAGGATGCAATTGGCAAGCTTGCGGGGAAACAAACTGAGCAGGCTGCATTTATTATTAAGAGCTTATTTATTTATTTATTTATTAAGAGTTGAGGGCAATGAATATATGAGAGCATGCATCAAGCGAGGCTTAGATTCAGGAGGGGGAAAAAAAAAGGCATGTGGGATTGGGTTGACATGTGTATATTAAATAATTAATACTTCCAAAAAAAGAGGGCCTCCTTTTCTGTATATATTTGGTTGACAATGCCAAAAAGTTTATTTTGCCTTTTACATGATTCTACAGTAGAGTACCAGTCGTCCTTGAATTCGTGTAAACCAGCCGTGCCATGTGTTCATTGCCAACATGACAAAAAAGACATAGACGACCCTTCTTGGCCTTTGTTCTAAAAGGAGCAAGACTTTTCAAGACACGAATGGGGACAACACCATTTTAAAAAACACAGATAGATGGTTGGGGCCTGCAGAGGGAGAGGCATTTGATCCCATGATGTCTGGTCTGTTTCCCCTTCCTTGCTCAGTTGGAGCATGCACGTTTCTGTGTAAATTTTGGGGGACTCCAACAAGAAACGTAACCCTTCCTTCATAGGGAAAAGCTATGATGATTTGCATTGTAGAAATTATATGAAATGAAATGTTCCTCTTTGGAAGCAACAAAAAATGTTAAACAAATGGTTTCAGTTGAAGCCCACTCCCAACTGTAACAAGGGATGGGTTAAAATGATGGCCTGGTCTGCTCCTTGGGACAGACAGTAATTATATTTCTTTACATTATATTTGTTTGTCATCAACATTCTCATTCTCATTCTCAAGAATCAAGAGGGAGAGAGAGAGGGAGAGAGAACTGACCCTAGAACATGGCGCCCACCATCATGAACAGCCTGAGAAACAAGGCCCATCAGTCCCACGCTTCCACCTCCATACACCAAATCAATCCTTTTCTCCACCTTCATCCAAACCAAGCAAACATTACTCCACACCCAAGTTTAATATTACACAATTACCAAAATAATGATCACTATGATGATAGTAATAATAATAAAATAAAATAAAATAAAAAGAACAGATACATAGATCAAATAAATTCCATATATTGGTAGTAAACTAGAAACCCGCACCATTACCACGTGTACAAGGCACTAACCCAATCATCAAAACCAACCAACAAATTAGGCAGAAATCGAGCCACTAAAAAATTATTGAAATTGGGTAAGAAGACTAAGGCCGAAAACCAAACCCATTAGTTTGAGAAAGGGCATAAACTTAATAACCCCGTCTCCCACGCCTAGAGAGAAGAACCCATCATGGGATGGAAGGGCAGCACGTCTGGTTCCCTAGAGCCAGGGCAGTGGCACTAAAAATGACACTGCTCTCGTATTCATTCATTCGTATATAATAATAATAATAATAATAATAATTAAATTAGATTAATAATACATACTTATATTGGTTAATATCAAATTAATTATGTTATGTTTCTTCTAAAGCGTGGATCTAATCTGATCGATCCATCCATCACGAAAAGTTATAAAACAGAGTAACGGAATTATGAGAGGAAGAAAAGGATCATGCAAGAAGGCTGCTCAACTGACAGGCCTCTTACAGCTAGCTCCTAAGCACCCTTCGTGCCTCAAACTTTAGTAGAAGAAAACAAAAACACTAAATAAAAAAAATTAACAAAAACAAAAAAGGAAAGGAAAGGAAATTCCCCACCCGGCCTCCTCCCTATTCGCCTTCCTCCCATTACCTAGGCTCTCCAATCATAACTTAAGCCCCACGTTGTTCCACAAACCTCTGCCTCCCGCAGCTTCCTCTCATCACCACCAACAACAGTGGAACGAAACTGAACACTACGCTAAAGAAAGAAAGAAAGAAAGAAAGAAGACCCTTTTGTGACCAACAGATACGGTTACCAAAATGGTCCGCTTAGAAGAACTGCTTTTGGCAACGCTCTGGCCGGTACCAAAAAGAATCTAAACGAAAATGACCCAATTTCCATTTCTACGCGCTGAAACAAAGTAAGGACTGAAGACCCACATCTCATCTTCTCTCTTCATTGCGTCCGTATATATATGATCCGCAATTACATTGCATTGCACCACAAGGATCAAACAGACCGACGCAAGAAGAAATGGGTACCATACCAACCAAACCATGGCTTTCAATTGAATACAATACAGCATAATAAAGACAATGAGAGTTTGGGAAAAAAACAAAATAAACAAGGGATATGAAATTACCAGTTCCTGGCCTAACTCAACCGCAGCTTCCTGGTAGGTAGCTTTCTTCCCTGAGCTGCTGCCACAGAAGACGCAGATCCTTTTGAACCTCGACGGCGTCGTCTTTCCTTCTACTTCCATTCTATCGCTCTTTCTCTCTCTCTCTCACTCACTCTTCTCTCTTTTCCCCTCTGCTGTCTTGTCTGTGTTTGGGATTTGGGAATGAGAGGGGAGAGATTGCCTTTGGAATATATGTATATTTATATAGGTAAGAGTTTCTTTAATTTTAATGTATTAAAAAATGTAAAATAAAAAATTGGAAAGGGAAGGGGAAGGTTGAAGAAGAGGGGGAAAAGAAAACGGCGGCGGCGCGTGGCTAGGAGGGAAGATGAACGACAAGGCGCGGCGGAGGAGGAGGAGGGCGGCGGTGAAAGAAAAAGCATATTATGCATTTGTAAAATCACTTTCTAATGTTATGCTAGTTTGAAAGTTGTATGTTCTGATCATTGGTAATTTAGTATAACTAGTTTATATCAATTCATGTTGATTTTAGCTAAATAAATAAATAAAAAAGTGTAAAATTATCAACACTAAATGAATTTAGACATATGTAGAAGAGATTAGAAGACAAAGACAATCTCTCAAAAATCTACATTAGTATTTAAATAAAATATAAAATTTCAAACAAAAAAAGTTCACATATTTAAATACAATATTTAATGCTAACATACAAATTTTTATACTTGATTCAAGCAAATAATATAAACATTAATAATTGAATCTAACAAACAAAATATTCAACGTAAAACAAAAATCTAACAAATAACATCAATATTTACTCAAATTCAAAAATCAAAGTAGAAATTAATTTTTGGCCAAATACACCTGTATAGCCAAAACTTTGACATTTTTGCCAAATATAGCCACTTTTGGCGAAATACCAGAAATAGCCACTTCCGTCCAATTGTTTGACGGTGTTAGTTAACGTGCTGACTGGACTAACAGCAGAGGCTGACGTGGCATATTTTATTCAAAAATAATATTAGGTGGAAAAACAGTAATCAAATTAATAAAATGGGGTTTTCACGAAAACAATAAAAACTTTCCCCTTTTGTTTTGAGGAAAAACAATAATCAAATTAATAAAAAAAATTATAAAAACAACTATCTCTTTATTGAGAACCCAATCAATCAACTAAAATGGGATTTTCAATTTTGGGTTCCCAGATTTCTCGACCCACTCCGTCCACTTTCTTTTTCCATTTGCCGCTCCCTTCACCTCCTTTAATCCACTCTTCCTTGGCCAATTTTATCGCCGCCATTAAAATCCCCAACTCCAATCACCCTAATTTTTGTCCATGATTTCAGTTTCCTCTTCAAATCTCCCCAGTATTTGAGTGAAGGAGAGGCGAACACTGGGTTTCCAGGTCTAATCCCAGGTCATTCGAGCGGTGGCGGGATTGTTGAATGAAAGGATTTGAAGAAATCGTGGAGCCGGTTTCGAATTTGGAGTCAACGACAATGAAGAGGGAGATCAGTCCACGTCGATTTACTTCTGATGGCTGGGGCTGTTCAAGATCTGTGAAACTGGAAGCGGCTAGCGGCGACGTCGGAAGGCATAAGAGGAAGGTGATTCGTCGGAGGCGACACAGATGAAGGGGCGACGTTGGGGAAGCGACTAGCGGCGGCGGCGGAAGGCAAATGAGGAAAGTGGTTCGTCGGATGTGATGTTTCATGTGGGGACGGCGCCGAGCTGCGACGATGTGGATGGCGAGGAACAGCGGAGGCGGGGGCGGTGGTTTCTTCTTCTCCTTCACCCTCTATTTTGATTTCCTCATTTCTCTTAGACTTGAGAACATAACCGACAGGATGTTGAAGGTAAAAGTTCTGGTTGTGGTCGTTTTCAGCTTATCTGTGGCTAGGTTTCGTTCGTCGGAGAACAAGAACGAGAGATGAAACACCCCGATCCTTTTAAACAACCGAAATAATCATGGCTCCGGAGCCGGTTAAAAACAAAGCTTAAAATTCAAATACAACTTAAACATTCCCAAGAAAACGTCAAATGCAATGCCCTAAACACGTGGGCAAAACTCAAATGCATAGTTAATAAACCTCAACCTTTGAACCTCCAGTTATACTCATAATCATAAACACAACTGACTAACCAAACTATAACTCCTGGCTTAGCTCCTTGACATCTCGTCAATGCTTGTGCGGCTGCTCGCCTTGTCTTGTCTCTTCTCGAAAACCACGTCGAATAACCCTTCCTCAACCTGGTGAGTGAGAAAGGGTCAGTCTCGTCGTTACCTCCTAAGGTCTCTGCCCTTAGAAATCTCCTTACTAAAACACATTATCAGGGTTTCATGCCTTAGACGAAATTCATTCTCACTTTCATCCTTAACAACTCATTTCAACTTTAACTCATAGAGGTTCTCAACTTTTATCCTTAAATCATAGAAGTTCTCTACTACTACCTTAACTTACATACTTATTACAAGGGAATCACCGCGTTACATATCGCCGTCCGGTGTCCCAACCTCAAGGCAATGGTACTGCGTTACGTATCGCCGTCCAGTCCATGCCCGGTCAACTACTGCGTTACGAATCGCCGTCCAGTAGTGACCCGACCATCTACTGCGTCCAGTAGTGGTCCAACCGCCCGGGGGTTCATCTTACCATCAAGCATACATCATAAACACACACATACATAGCACAACGCGTGCCTCCACCTTAAGTAGGCGGTGGGATGCCTCACACACATAATCGCGCTTACTTGAAAATTAAATAACATAACTGAATTAAAAGGGCATAAACGGAAAGACCTCGACGGAGATTTTACCCCCTTTACACTCACCGTAGTAATAAGTTGATGAACCTGCCCCTGATGCCAAGCCTCCGACTCTGGTAATGTGATCTCGTACCCCCTACTTTACTTAAATGGCCATAGAAGCACCTAGGTAACATACTCAATTCTTATCTTCATGTGATATACGAATTCCTCTTCAATGGAGATTATGATACACGAATCCCCCATATCATTATTATTTGAAATAGCTCTCTTCACTTCTCCCAACCTCGATAGCTTAATTGCCAGCATCTTTAGCCACTTAGATATACACCACAAAAGACAAAAGACCTATATTAATTCCAACCCCACAACCAAATCCATATAGTCATGGCATTCACTAAGAGAAAAGCTCCCATGTTAGGCCATGCTCAAATCACGTGTCTCTACTCCATGCACAAGGGTCCAAATTAGTGATTTTGCAAGGCGTGTATCAAAATCATGCGCCAAAACACTATCATTAGGCAAGACATCCACGTTTTCCATTAGGATCACAGGATCGAACCATTTCCGAAGATGCATGCCTTGATTAAATTCCCCAGTAATTTACCCGAACTCGTGCCATTTATATTCGCCCTTCCAATGAATTATAACTACAAATAATCACCAAAATCGAACATGATGGAAAGACACTTACCTCCCTTTTCATCTTCACGTATTCTCTAGCTTTATATTTGGAGCGCGTGAAGGCCAATCAGCTCGTCTTGCCAGGGTTCTCGTCATGAATTTCATGGACACCAACACATCAGTCCGAGTAATCAGCTTGGCGGAGAGGCCGGCGTAGGTGACGGTGATCACTTGGAAGATGTTGATGGCGATTCTCGGCCTTTGTTCTTGGCCACCGCTCTCTTTCTTTTCTTCCCCTTCTAATTATTTTCTTGATCCGATGTTGTTGCTATTATTAAGCGAGGAGAGGAATCGAGACGTTTTGGGGAATAAAGGTGGGGTTACGGTGGGATTTATTAGTTGAGGGAGATGGAAGGAGACGTGGAGAGGGCATCGTTTGTTAATTGGGGTGGGGAGGTAACGGTGGAGGGGTTTAGGGTTTCTTTCTTCTTCCTACTTTCTTTGTTGCTGCCTGGAAACGGAAGATGATGTTATTATTATTAATAATAACTAATGTTATTATTATTATTTCCAATCTATGGTCAAACCCTTTGTACATAACCATTGATTCAACCGCCCAGTCGAATCTAAACCCAAATGTTGGGGTGTTACATTTCCTCCACCCTTAAAACAATTTCGTCCCCGAAATTTGATCGGACACATCCTTCTATCAACACCCTTCTTATACTTCCTTCCCCCAATCATTTATTCTTACCCTAACAACTTCATTGGTAACCTTTGATCATTTATATTTCCTTAGCTGGTAGCATTCGTGTAACCTTGAGTGACTCCCTACCCTTTTTGTTTCACAACTTGATCAAACAGTGATGAAACAAAATGCTGATTTGACTGGACATGTTGAGCGATTTTCTTGGTAGTTGTTGTTGAACCCAAGTCCAGAATCGAGATATCACATTTCCCACCTCCTTAAGAAAAATTTCGACCTCGAAATTTGTTAATCTTGCTAACCCAAAGTCCCACTTGAGGTAATCCTTCCACTACAAGGATTTATACTTCATTTACATTGTACAACCTTGAGCTATGATTCCTTCCCTCCAATTCGTGTGGTTCTTCGCCAACTACTCACTCACCCATTTTTCATAAATCTCTTGCTCAAGCTAGTTACTTGCTCAATGTGTCTATGACACTATGGCACTCTCCCTTCTTTAATGCCTCTGATGGTGTAATGGCATTTGTAGCTGTTGTTGTTCTCAACGATTTGTCTTGGGTCTCTACTTTGGATTCCTTAAGAACTTAAGGAAATAAATTATTAGCCAGCTGTTCAGGTCGTGCCTCGTCGTAACGTTAGCTCATAACAGGCCCTGACCTTGAACTTCGTCCTCCCTATCTTGACTGCTGACGAATCTCATAGGTATAGAATGTCCATAGAGGATGTTTGACCTGCATACTGATTGACTCTGATGCTGGTTCCTAGGTATCACTTCTTCTCCCTTTATAGGCCTTGTTATTCTCCTCTTTGATAACTCCACTTGATACACACACTTGATGCCTGATTCACCATATATGATTCATTTAGCATGAGAAAATCCCTTACACATCCCTATTGTCGTTCTCAATACCCCTTTCAACCCAAAGGTTACTAATGGCGGCTTAACCTCCATCTTGTTATATCGCAAAACTCTTTTAACATAACCTCATCTGTGGTTGACCACGTAGGTCACCTATGTCCTTGTACCTTCTGACTTTGAATCTCTTACTTTCTTCCCTGATGTCTAGCTCGTCTTATCCTCTAACCATAAACTGAATGGTCATCTCCTCGTTACTTCTTGCTAAACACAGAAACCTCATACTGTTGCTTTTACTGTCTGTATGCATTAAAGGCATCTTTTTCATCTTTCTCTAGCTTGCAGTTAGCCCTTTGACTCCTTTCAAGAATCATGACCTTCCATTTAGCATACTTGTTCACTCCTAGAACCCAACTTAGCACTTCCTTATCGCCACCTGAATTTGAAGTTCTCGTACTATCCATTCTGCTACTCTTAGACCCTAGTTGAAATTCCTCAAACGGTTCACCCGTCCATAGAGCCTTACCTGAGAGATTGACACCTTTCACCAGCATAGGCGATCTTGGTTTCACTTTGGGGTATCCTGGCCGGTTCCCTAAACTCATATCCCTCTTACTTCTTTACTCATGACACTTCTTCTTGATCTTCCTTGCTAGTTCTAGATGTCCCTCGTCCTCGATGTAGTCATCCTGGTGCCCATATTCTCTTCTCACTTATGTACCTTGTACCTTGACCGATAAGGTTTTCCCTTCGACCGTTCTAGACCACCACACTTCTACTTTAAAGTTGACCATTGAGCTTCTCAGTTCTTGATGGGCTTCCTATGGTCCAACTTATCTCCACTGGCAATCACATTAACGCCTCCTTGTTGACCCTCATATTCTTTCGGCGGCCCTTCCTAACTATCCTTCTCCCTGAATTTGTCGTTTTGTCGACTACCACCCTTTACACTATAACCTTCATTATAGCCTTGTGGTTTCCTCCTTACTTCCACAACTCCTTCATCGATGCTTGGTACTAGCTTTAATCGACTTAGTTTAGTAGCTCCTCGCCATACCTCAGAGCCAACATTTCCACTAGAAACTTTCTCTTGGTAGACTTGACAGATGACACCCACGACTTCTACTCATGATGGTGTTTGACCACGTCCCAACTATCTTCCTTGACGCATACATTGCCAGGTTGATGCCACCCATTTTTTTCCTTCTATAACCTCCCATGGTGTTCTTCTTGCTTCTTTACTTTTACTACCACCAAACTACAACTCTTCTGTTGTTGCTTGTACTATATTTGGTCACCAACCTCTGTTGAGTATCTTCTCGTTGTTGTTTTAGGTCACAACTGCCAACGGTGGCTAGCCCTTGGTAACCTTTAACATAACTCATTCCATGTCTCTTTTGTTGATCGTTCTTGTACATAAACTTAGTTTCTTAGTTAGGATTCTTAGTGGCTTAACTGAGCGTGCCTGTTTCATCCTTAACTAGTTGTCTCCTCTGGAGTCCTCCTACCATGCCACGCCCACTCAGAGTGGGGAACCTTGGATAAGGTAACTTCTCTTGTTTCCTCCTTCTCGGTAATGCTTTCCCTCATCGTACCTCTTTGTGCAGCTTCTTGACCTCAAGTCACTTGAGACTTGACCCATTGATTTCTTGAAATGTCGTCAAACTCCCTCTGGCCTTTTTGCTCTTCCTTGGTATTGTTCGCAAACTCTCTTCATTACGACCGTTTAGGCTCTTACTCGAATTTGCCAACTTTCATTAGAACTTCTAATGAACGTTGTACTTGCTTGTCTATACCCGGTTGATCGAATGATTTACTCCTACGGCTGGTTCCGAGACTCCCGCTCTTGGACCCCTAGTTCCCACTTTAGAATTTCCCAATGGATTCCTTGAAATTCCACGATTTTCTGATTTCTTTGATCATGGTAATTTGCAGGGTCTCTCAACCCCTTCTCATACCTTGTCCTCTAGCTTGCGCTTGACAGGTGTATAGCATGCCTGATCTAACCTCAACCTCGACATCATTTATCTCGTTGCTTGTCTTGTTCCTTTTAAAGGCTTGTTAGCCTAACTCCCCAGGGTCATGTACCCTCTTCCCTAGTGACGTAGTTTATCTATAAGGGTTCTTTAATCATCATATGTAAACTACCTTGCCTCAAGACCAGTCTCTCTCCTACCACTTGTCACGGACATAGACTTCTGAAGTCCGATAGGCGTCTTGAGGTGCACTCATCAGGGAGACGGCAATAGCCTCCTTTCCTTCTTAAACTTTTGACTTTTGACGTCCTTTCAGACCCCTTCTAACCTACTTACTTCCTCCTTTACTTCATTCATACTACACTAGCCTCTCTTGAAGTCTAAGCTTTTCACTGCTCCTTGTCGCTATGTTGTAATAGCTTTGACCACCAAACTAGTTGAGGGACTTCCACCTCTTCGTTTCTTGGCTCGTTGCTTCCTTGCCACTGCTTAGGGTCAAGGACCCTGAAATTCTCTCATCATTATAACTACTGACATCTAGTGACTGTAGCTCTTTCTTTGGAGATTCATATTTCTCTCATTTGTTTGTCTTAGCTTATTAGATCATCCACTGGTTTCCTAGTAGTAAAATCCTCGTACTACTCCCTCAACTCCTTCAAAATCCTTGAGGTATTCCCTTTCAATTGACACCTCTTTGCTGGTGTTTGGAGTTGAAGTCCTCGCACATTTGATTCTACCTCCACAGACCTTTGCAACGTTCCTCCATCCTGCTCTAGGTTGATGATGATGATCTGTTTGCTAACGTCCGAGTAGTTGGTTAACTAATTGAAGAACTACTATCCATCATGTCGATGAGATACTTGGTCTTGAGAGCCTTTGAGACTCTACTTGGGTTGGTCACGTTTCTTTCATCCTTTCTTCCTTACTGGCGATCCCCATATGCCTAAATCTCTTATTTGACCAACCACGACATGTTAACTAAATTGTGTCCTACCCTAGCTACCATCCCTTCGTGCCGTGCCGTCATAGTTATTCACCTTAATATGATTAGAGTAGACTGGAGATTCTATAAACTCTTAAAAGAAGACCCTTGACTCATTTTCCTTTCCTTTAAAACAAAACCTTTAAAAACTGAGACCGACATTCCAGTATTCCTTGGAATCCAAGGAACAGAGGAAAACCAGGCTCTGATACCAAAATGAAACACCCCGATCCTTTTAAACAACCGAAATAATCATGGCTCCGGAGCCGGTTAAAAACAAAGCTTAAAATTCAAATACAACTTAAACATTCCCAAGAAAACGTCAAATGCAATGCAATGCCCTCAACTTTTATCCTTAAATCATAGAAGTTCTCTACTACTACCTTAACTTACACACTTATTACTAGGGAATCACCGCGTTACGTATCGCCGTCCGGTGTTCCAACCTCAAGGCAATGGTACTGCGTTACGTATCGCCGTCCAGTCCATGCCCGGTCAACTACTGCGTTACGAATCGCCGTCTAGTAGTGACCCGACCATCTACTGCGTCCAGTAGTGGTCCAACCGCCCGGGGGTTCATCTTACCATCAAGCATACATCATAAACACACACATACATAGCACAACGCGTGCCTCCACCTTAAGTAGGCGGTGGGATGCCTCACACACATAATCGCGCTTACTTGAAAATTAAATAACATAACTGAATTAAAAGGGCATAAACTGAAAGACCTCGACAGAGATTTTACCCCCTTTACACTCACCGTAGTAATAAGTTGATGAACCTGCCCCTGATGCCAAGCCTCCGACTCTGGTAATGTGATCTCGTACCCCCTACTTTACTTAAATGGCCATAGAAGCACCCAGGTAACATACTCAATTCTTATCTTCATGTGATATACGACTTCCTCTTCAATGGAGATTATGATACACGAATCCCCCATATCATTATTATTTGAAATAGCTCTCTTCACTTCTCCCAACCTCGATAGCTTAATTACCAGTATCTTTAGCCACTTAGATATACACCACAAAAGACAAAATACCTATATTAATTCCAACCCCACAACCAAATCCATATAATCATGGCATTCACTAAGAGAAAAGCTCCCATGTTAGGCCATGCTCAAATCACGTGTCTCTACTCCATGCACAAGGGTCCAAATTAGTGATTTTGCAAGGCGTGTATCAAAATCATGCACCAAAACACTATCATTAGGCAAGACATCCACGTTTTCCATTAGGATCACAGGATCGAACCATTTCCGAAGATGCATGCCTTGATTAAATTCCCCAGTAATTTACCCGAACTCGTGCCATTTATATTCGCCCTTCCAATGAATTATAACTACAAATAATCACCAAAATCGAACATGATGGAAAGACCCTTACCTCCCTTTTCATCTTCACGTATTCTCTAGCTTTATATTCGGAGCGCGTGAAGGCCAATCAGCCCGTCTTGCCAGGGTTCTCGTCATGAATTTCATGGACACCAACACATCAGTCCGAGTAATCAGCTTGGCGGAGAGGCCGGCGTAGGTGACGGTGATTACTTGGAAGATGTTGATGGCGATTCTCGGCCTTTGTTCTTGGCCACTGCTCTCTTTCTTTTCTTCCCCTTCTAATTATTTTCTTGATCCGATGTTGTTGCTATTATTAAGCGAGGAGAGGAATCGAGACGTTTTGGGGAATAAAGGTGGGGTTACGGTGGGATTTATTAGTTGAAGGAGACGTGGAGAGGGCAGCGTTTGTTAATTGGGGTGGGGAGGTAACGGTGGAGGGGTTTAGGGTTTCTTTCTTCTTCCTACTTTCTTTGTTGCTGCCCGGAAACGGATGATGATGTTATTATTATTAATAATAACTAATGTTATTATTATTATTTCCAATCTATGGTCAAACCCTTTGTACATAACCATTGATTCAACCGCCCAGTCGAATCTAAACCCAAATGTTGGGGTGTTACAAGAGAAGACATATTCGATCTGGAGAAGCAGGGTTTGCCAGTCGCTTGGTTCGTCGATCGATAAAACTGGAGGCAGGGAGTTGGATCAGAGAAGATGAAGAAGGGATTAAGAGATGGAGAGTTCATCTCTTTTGTTTTTGTTTATTTATGTAATTAATAAAAAAATAACACATTTTCAAAGTTTTTTTTTACTTTTGTAAATGACGTGTCGTCCTTCTGTCAGTGAATCCTGAGGTGGAAAAGAAAGAAAAGGTGAGTTGGCAGCCAGATCATCATTCCGTTAATTTGACTAACGGTGTCACTGACGCCGTTAAACTATGTAACGGAAATGGCTATTATTGTCATTGAACTTTCAAATTTTTGGCTATTATTGGTATTTCCTCAAAAGTGGCTATTATTATCGCGAACGTCAAAGTTTTGGCTATACAATTGTATTTGGCCTTTACTAATTAAATTCACCAAAAGTGATACCTTTTATTTGAAATTCGAAGATTGATCATATCAATCATATCAAAAGAATTTCACCAATTGTAACGACCAATATGTCACCGGCATGACAATAATTTGCGATGAGAGGAAACCCTTTTTGTACATTGGGTGAAGGTGAAAGTATTGAACTTTATTTAATGTAAATACAATATATTTGTCAAACCTTTAATTTTAAACAAAATAATAGCTATACCTTTCAAAAAACAAAATAATAGTCAAATCGTTAACTTTTCATCCGTTCAAAGTCAGTTGACTATGACGTGGCAAATTAATATTGACGTGGCAAAAAGTCAATTGTTTGACTGTGCCACATGGATATATATTAATTTTAAGTTATTATTTTCAAAAAAATCGAAAACCCTTGTGTCTCTTCCTTTTCCCTCACTCTCCTCCGGCTCCATCCAACAAAACTATGTATCGTTGTCCCCTCCCTCAACTCAAATTCATTGACCGGCGATCATGCCCATCTTCGCTCCGGCGAATCCTGATCTCGTATCCTACTGCTCAATTTCGTTCAACAATACTTGATTAGAGGAATCTCTTGAGAAAGAGAAGATGACTTACACTCTGTCACACCCGACAAAACATGGCAGGATTGGCTGTGGATGTAACTATCACTGGAATGGAAATGACTTTAGCGAAATAACAGAGAAGTTGGGAGAGAAAAGAAAGAATCAAAAGAAGAGAGAAAAGTAGGAAGTAAGGATTATGTTATTATCATCAAGTGTCCCCCAATTAGTAGCTCTCATCTTTCTTTTATACAGTCAACAAAGAATAAAATTGGCTTACATAAGTGTCCCTATTAGTTGGATCATGAAAAATCTCCTCCCCTTGGCAAATGGCTTGTCCCAAAGCCGGAAATGCAGGAAAACGCCGTCGGAAGGGATGAAGATCCTCCCAGGTTGCATAAGCAAGAGTTTGTTGAATCCAATGGACCAAAATCTGTGTGATAGCCTGGTTATTGCGCTGGAAGAACCGCCTGGCCAGAATGGCAGCTGGAGCCAACTTTGGGATGATGCTAGAGGCACAATGGAATGGGATAGCTTCAGCAGTGATACATGAAGCACATGATGAATCTGAGAGTCTTGTGGAAGATCCAAATGATAAGCCACCTCTCCACTAAATGCGAGCACACTATAAGGACCAAAATAGTGAGGACCCAACTTGGATCCATGACGCCCTACGACATAACCCTGCTTGTAAGGTTGAAGATGGAGGTAAACCATGTCATCTAACATGAAACTGTGCTCGGAACTCCAACAATCATCAAACTGTTTTTGACGCATCTGTGCAATAGTAAGATTGTGGCGAAGGAGTTGAGGCGAAGACGGACATTGTAAAGAGTGATATGGCACCACTCCACCAAGGTCAACCAATCAAACCGAGCTTGTGGTCATTGAAATGTCATGCACCGTGACTCGCTCCGACTATCACAATAAAATCCCATCTAAGGTCCAATTAGATGGGTGCAATATAGGCCAAGTATGTTTAAATATCAACCCAGGCCGTCCCATGTACCCCTACTTCGAACATTATCTAGCGGATTGTTGTTTGTTGAAATCTCTACGGTCTACGATTTGAAAGCAAGACTTTGAAAAGTAATAAGGTGGAAAACTCTTGGTGAGAAGCTTCACTAGGGTGTTGCTTCCCCGCAACTAACTACCATGAATCGTGAGATCGAATGAATCGGTGTGTGACAACAAAATTGTGACCCGTAGGAGGTGCAACAACGGTTAGAAATCATCCTCTCAATTGCTAGGCCAAGGTAAGCATTAAAGGCTACAATTGTAGCCCTCTTGGCCAAACCAATTGAGGGTTGACTTACCTTCTCCCTCAAACCAAGGCTTGGATGGCATAATCACAATCAACCTCAGTGTCTAATTTAAGTAGAGGTTTACCCTTCATTAACCTAGTTAGGAGGCATGGAATGCCTAAGAAAACCCATCTCAATTTTGAGCCTTTTAAGATAAGGGGGCTTCTCTCTAATCTAGGTTAGAATAGCACAATAGATTGTCAAGCAAACAATATGCACAATCACCATGAAAAATACCTCAATTATTAAGTTAAACACCACCATCACACAATGATTCAATCCACACAATCAATTACATGATAGTAGTTAGGGTTCTAAAACACCAAAGTGGAAAGGGAAACTACTCCATGCTGGACAATGGAAGAACACAAAAGAGGAAGAAAGAAACCATCATTGTGATGCCTCCAACTCCTCCAAAGAAGAGGAACTTCCCAAAATCTTCACTTGGAGCAAACCCTAGCCTCTTCTCCCTCTTAGTTCGTGACTTTCTCTCTCTAGGGTTTCAAGAAGAAGAAGGTTTCTCTCACTTTGGGCTCTCCCTTCTTCTTCCTTTCAGCTCTCCATTTATACTAAGATCGTGCCCAGTTCACGGCCGTGAACATCAGAACACGTCCGTGAACTCAGTGAGTTGGATCAAACTGCACCGCTTCACTCCTGGGGTTCACGGTTTGTGGTTCCAGGTCACGGTCTTAGCGACCGTAAATTTCCTTGGAGTCAGTAACCTCAGAAACCCCTCCGGACGCTTCGCTATTAATGATTTGTGGTTCCAGTTGACGGTACTGGAGACCATGAACACTAATGTTGGACCGTGAACTCTGGCTGATCCTCCTCTTTGCCCGGTCTTTGCTCCTTTTCTTCTAACTTTCAACTCCGAGGTTGGTTTGACCTTATCTTCCAACTTTCGACTCTAGGGTTGGTTTCACCTGTTAGACTTTGAAACACTCCCCCACCCTCAGACGTTTGCTTGTCCCCAAGCAAACCATTTCACACAAGGTAATATCTCAACCTAACAAAATGCTTTAGGGACAAATCAAAAGGCACAAAGTGGTGAATCTCAATGGCTATTGGCAATTAACACAGGGACCGTTGTAAGCCATACCGACATCTACCACAAATGACAATCAAGGTCCACAACTAACCATGCATAACATTAAAGTCCAAGGAACAAACAAATAGGCAACAAAGGTCCTCGCCGGGGAATGATATGACATGCAAAGCAAGAATGAATCACTCAATCTCTTGACCAGTGGGGTCGGTATCTTTTTGGTGAAAAGAATGTCCACAATCATCACCACTCGGCCCTATCGTCTCTTCACCATGGCGGCATCCTCTAAATGTTAGAGTTCACAGGATGGTTGTCATCACTAGCTTGTCTGGAGGTCTTAGACACTGGTTCAAATGACTGGCAATTGTCTTGGACATGGGGAAAATGATTTCGGTTGGTGGAAAACACAACATGAGGTCCTACATCTTCACCCTAAACCCGAAGGTTCTATGGTTTTGCTAAGAACCTTCTCCCTTCCAAACTATCACGCATCATGAACTACCTTTAAGCGCTCTTCCTCGGTCTATTCTTGCCATCACATTTCGACTTGGTAGTGAAGGAGCTCAACAACAATGTGGGGGGTTTCAATAGCTTGAATCCTGAGAAACCCCTCCTAGAGCACACTGTTTGATTTTTGTGGCACTCTCTACCTTATTTACGCCGTTTTATTACCTCTTTTCGATTCTTTTTCTTTCTACTTTCCTTTTCTTTCTTTCTTTTTCTCTTTTCTTTTTGAGGGGGGTACTAGAGAGTAAAACACTTGCCACATTATATTTATCAACCAATGCTCTCTTTTAAGAACTTACTCCAACACTACTCTTTTCTCTTTCCTTCCTAGCAAGAACCACAAACAATCCTCCTATATAGAACCTCAATGGAACTCAAAAGTGTGAGCTTCGTGACACAAGGACGACTCACGTATATACACGTGTCGCAAACGTCCCTGCGGGGGTTGTCAGGGTCCTCGCGTTCGTTTTTTGGGAGTCGCCATCGATCTTACTTGGAGTGGATCGAAGACTCTTCGAATCGGCTCTAACCTTAGGTTCAGAACTGAGATATGGTCTGCGGTTAAGATATTCGGGTTCAGGAGTACGGTTACGTGTGAGGAAGTGAAATCACACCCCACAACGCGCTAAATCGGTACTACTTAAGTCGATAAATTTTATATGTGTTGGGTGTTATTTTGGTAAATATTGTGTATTTTAAAATCCCACTAGATCATTAATATATTGGTTATGACTTAATTAATGCGTCAATGGAGGTTTAGTTCATGATTAGGTATTTTAGATATTTTTAGGGCCATACTGGACCACTAAATTAATTAAATCATATTAATTGTGATTTAATTATACGCCCACTGGCGTAAAAATTAAAAGATAAAATTGATTGGTTAGTTGGACTCGAACCTTATAGGTTGCCTATGTACCCGTTAAACGGGATCAAAGTCCACGTAGTTCGTTAGGAACTTTGATCATTTTAATTATGACTTTTACCACGTTCCACTGAACGTAATTTTTGTTTTAAAGATTTTGTTAATAAAACTTCATATAGATTATTATGAGGTTATGATAATAAATGCAAGTATTTTAGTCATTAGGAAGTATTTTGACGTATTGAAAAAAAAATGAGATAAACTTAATTCGCATTCTACATTTCGTATTAAGGACTTTAAACAAATAAAATTAAACGAGATGGTTAATTTATCGCATGATGGGCCAGCAGCCCAACTGGCTAAGTTGCCAGTGTCTAAACGTACTCGCTTCACTAAACGAGGGTTTGAGACGCGCTAACCACCATTTTTTTTATTCGCAGTTTTATTTCAGAGGGGGGAGGGTAGTTTCGAACTTTCATCAAAACGCGGGGGCAGGGGGCAGAAAATATTTGAAAACCCTAGGGGTAATCTAGTCATTGTAATTGACGAGGTATATAAACGTCTCTTAAACGAAACCCTAACCCATTATACACAGATCAAGAGGCTGCCGCCAGTCTCTCTCATTCCTCTCTAATCCACTCGTTCTCTCACTCTCGCCTTTCTTTTTCACTCCCAAAAAGATGAAACCCTAGCCTAAACAAACCCAAACAGCCGCCTCAACTTCTCTCTCTCTCTCTCTCTCTCTCTCTCTCTCTCTCTCTCGACCCTCTATCACTCTCATGTCTCTTCTTCTCCTCCAGAGAGAAGAATACGAAACCCTAGCCACACAAACAACGTAGCCGTCACTCTCTCGTCTCCTCTCCTCTCTCTCTCTCTCTCTCTCTCTCTCTCTCTCTCTCTCTCGCGTTCTCCCTCTCTAATCCGAGAAAGGGAAACCTACAACCTAGCTCTCTCTCCTGCGCCGCCGTCTTCTCCTTTCTCGGCTGGCCAAGGGAATCGCTCGTATTCAAGTTAAATCAACCTAAAAGGTCTCGATCTAGGTAAGATCCTAGAAATGCATGTTTTTTATTTTTGGTTCGATTGTGTCTTTTTGTGAAGTTTTGATTTCTGATTTCTTTTTACTTATTATGTTTTGTTTTTGGGACTCGGACGAGGAACAGAGAGGGAGCGTCGTTAGTCGAAGCCGCACCGTCGGCGGCAACAAGAACGCCGACGACAGCAGTGTAAGTTTTTTATTTTTCTTTCCTTTTTCAATTTTCGTTTACTTCGATTTGGATTGGTTCTGACCCTTCTTTATTTTTCAGATTTGAAGAGAGATCAGATCTGGGTAAGATATTTATTTGCATGTGTGTTTAATTTGTTTTTTATTTAGGACTGGGATTCTAACGTTTTGTCTGTGGGTTTTGGGAGTCAGATTATGCAACCGTGGACGATGGAGACGGCGTCATAGGATGTTCCACCCACGGTGACTGAAGGGCGTGGTGAGCGATTTTATTGTTTTTATTTATTTGATTATCTCCTAGTTTATGGTTTCTGATTTGCTTATTTTATTTGATGCGGGGTTTGAGGAAAGACGATTTAGGTGAGGTTCTCCTAACCTGACTCTTTATGGTTGGGGAGATTAAACTAGGAAAAAAAAACTAATATTTATTTATGGATTTAAAAATGATATACAAATTTGATTTTTGGGATTAAAAATATGAATTCGAATTGAATGATTCTGAAAGGGTGAATGAATTCGTTTATGAAATCTAGTGGATTCGGTTATAGCTCTTGATATGCTTGAAATCGGTAAGAAAAGAATTTTATTTGTAGAGAAGAAAAAAAGTAATTAACATGCTCAACGATTGCTAATTTTGACGATTATAGATCACTGCTACAACTTGTGATTTACTAAGCTATGAAAAGACGATTATAGATCACTCATACCGCTTGTGATTTATTAAGCTATGAAAATGAATTTTTCAGTATGCATATTATCATGGCTCGATCGAGATTATGGGTATTTTTGTGGGTTTAATTTTTGAAATTTATGATGTATGCATTGCGGGTTAAGATTTGAAGTATTTGTATTTATATTGTTAGTCGCCTGCCTTGACACGAGGGGAAAGGGAAAATCTAATGAACTATAGATCTATGTTTGGAAAAATAAAAGAAAAGCAATTCACAGCCGCTCTATTAGATGGAAAACGAGTAAGCTAGTAAGAAGGAAAGTGTAATCTAAATGCCGCTATGTACCACACATCAAACATAGTTAACCTGACTAGTTAGCATATTCCTATTGTATTATTATGCGATTAAATGAAAGGGCTTCTTAAACTGGAATGGTTGATAATGATACATAACAAGTGCTTGAATATAAATGAATTATGTAGGGATCAGTAGTATACATAAACAAGCGATAAAATGATAGAGAACTAAAAAGATTGTTATTGAAGAAGGATGAACCTGGTTTACAGATTACAAGCTTGGTGTTGAGACCCTTGCCTTGTTCCTTCTTTCCACTCTTGTTCTCCAAGAAGAAGGATTCGATCCCAAAAAAAGGCTACAAAGAAAGCTCTCTCCCTAGTTCATTTCGTGTTTACACTCCCCACCCCCACCCCAAACTTGAGAGCCCAAAGAGCTCTTTAATAGTAAAATAAAGTGCCACATGTCATGTTGTGATTGATGATGAGCATGACATGCTTCCCTCTAATTGGCTGAGCCTCAAGGCTGCATCTCAAGCCTCCATCTGTAAAGTGGGTTGCTGAGTGGCCATGTTGGTGAGCTCTTGGTTGGGTTGGGCCAAACCAATTTGTGCCTTTGGGCTCCTGGGCATATGGGCCGACTTGGGCTCAGATCATGGGCTGAAACTGTTTTTGAAATTTGGGCATGTATTAGCTTACTCTCTTCTTTGTTTTGCAGCTTGCTGGTGTGGGCTCTACATGTCTATCGGGCCTTTGCTTTCTTGGATTTGTAAACTTGGTTGATGTTTAGGAGTGTACTAACTTTTGTAATGATGTTGGCTTTTAAATTCCTCCTCAATAATACGATATTGTACTTTCCTTATGTATTCAAATCCCTTGTGCATCAAACCTTGACATTGAACTCGAATTGTGCATCAAACCTTGACATGGAACTCGAATGCTTCGTCTCGTACTAAACTTGAATGAAAGATCGTACTCTTGTTTAACATGAACCCTTCTTAGACTGGTGAGAGACAACTTTATTGGTCCGAAGCTGGCAATGGCTTTTGACCTGGACAAAATGTGGTGTCTACAGTTGCCCCCACTTTGTATATCTCTTTTTATAAAGAGTTATACAAAGTTCTTGAAAAGACACCATATTTTGTAGAACTATGTTGATGATTGTATCGTATAACAAAAATTTATGCTTGAGTGTCGTTTGCATTGTGAATACTGATTATGACGAAATCACATTTTTCTATAGCGTTTGCCAACGCGAGTCTTATGTTTATGCATATTGTTTGCCAATGCATGAAATTGCATTTTTATATAACGTTTTCTAACGCGATAAATTTACGTTTTTATATAGCACTCGTCAACGCGGGAAATTACATTTTTATATAGCGTTTGTCAACGCGGGACATATTTCTGTAGCGTTTGCCAACGCGGGAACGTGTTTATGTAGCGACGCCAACACGGGAAATTACATTTTTTATGTAGCGTTTGCCAACGCGAAAAATTTAGATGACAGTTAACGATGCGGGTTTACGTTTTTATATAAGCGTTCGCCAACGTGGAGACGTTTTTTCTATAGCGTTCGCCAACGTGGGGACATGTTTATATAGCGTTTGCCAACGTGGGGACGTGTTTATATAGCGCTCACCAACGCAGGGACGTATTTCTATGGCGCTCGCCAACACGGGTAATCATGAAATTTGATATGATATTTTTTGGAATCTCGGTAGACTTTGATAAGTCAACACGCAATTGTTGCTTTTCTGATAAAACCTTTAATACGTGTCTAAAGTAAAGACGGACACGTTTATTGAGAAATGATAGTATGGTGTATCATGTTAAATGATGATGTCATGAATGTTATGCAAAAAAACATTGTTTTTTTTCTTTCGTTGGTCCTGGGTTTCTTTAAATCGATCATCCACTAGGAATTTTGTCATAGCCTTTAGTAGAGTTGATCCTTGGTCCTACTCGATAGTTCGAGCTCTTGATTGTCCGCCTTTATGGTGAAGGGGTTCTGATATTGACTACTTTGTTTCCTTGATGTATGCTGTCTGGGAAACCCGACCTTATAGGCTTAGGTTTGGAATAATCTACTCAACCAGGGATCCCGCCTGTGGTGGTCTTTTTGGCGATGTAAACGATATTTTGCTTGGTTAAGAAGATCTATCATCTTGAGGTATGTCTTGTCAGGATTGGATTTTCAGAATACACTTTTGATTGAGTCTATCTAAGATATAGGAAACACTGAGGTATCATATTGTACTGTTTTTTCTTTCTTGATGCCCAATATAGGTCGCACGGGTCTTTTATGAGGTTGTCTTTTTGGTGACAGAGTATATTGTGCTTCTTCTCGTCAGTATGTCATTGAAGTAAAATTTAGCTGACCACTTGGGTCTCATGAAATTGAGTGTTTTCAAGTTCTCCAAGATTTCTCCACAAACTAGGGAGTTGAAAAGTTAAGTAGTCTGACTACTTAGTACCTTGAACTTTCTCTAAGTTGCCTCCATTTTGCCCCCAAGGATATAATACTCCTTCTCCATCTTCAGGAACGAAGAGTGATTTTTATCATCCTCGACTTGGAATGAATGCAACAACGTCTGGAAACAACTTTGTTGAAATAACATTGTGAAAACTCATTTTTAGATAATGAAGCTCTTATTTATGGAAGTGTTTGCAAATTGAGCAAATACATTTTCTTGTGTGACTTTTGCCACAAACTTTGTTTTCATAATGCTCAAAATTTGTTTTTGTTTCAAGAAGAGTGCAAATCGAGCCATAAGAATATCCATGATCTCTCACTCTCATCCTTAACCTATTTTTCGCTTTCACTCATTCCTATGGATGTTTTAAGTTTAACACTTCGGCTACTATCAAGAATCCTGTCACCATGAGATGACTCTGTCTATGTTGACGGTCATATGAGCTTGAGGTTAAGGTTTTTTCTCAGCAGAAGAGCTCTGTGTGATTGATTTAGATGATTTTCATACGGTCTTGTCATGGAGGTATATGATTTTTAATGAAAAGAGGTTGTTGGTTGATTTTGAATGTGAGGATCTTCTTGTCCTGAAATTTTCATTGTCCTGTAATGCAGGGTTGATACAATGATACAAAGAAGATCTTTGAGAGATTTTGGCCATACTAAGACTTTTTTCGGGAAATTTTTGCTTGCCCCCAAAGATATGTGGCTAATTGATGGAAATAGGGGATTCGTATAAGGTTTGTAGGTTCTCTCATCGAGGAAGTCTATCTTTTTCTTGGAAATATTGGTGGTTTCCAGAGAGTGTATCTATAGCTTGTATTGCCTCTCTTCTCTTGAAATGTTGGTTTTGAGACGCAAGAATGAGTAGGAAGCAAATGAATACTTGCTTCATCCCAGAATGGTATGATGAGGAGTTCCTTTGTGTAGTGGTAGTGACTACATGGGTTTTCTTACCACGTAAGCTTTTGCTTGAGCTTGTTTTTTTTCCTGGATATTGGTTGGCAGATATCTTAACTTTTTGCGAGTAGTTATGACTTCAGATAACATAGAAAGGGGCATCTAGTTGTAAGTCCCACAATGTTTTTTCACGTTTGTGGGACTTGCTTGACTTTGTTATGCCCCCTATGTGTTTCATTAACTCTTCAACTGAAATTTGTGTTTCTGGGCACGAGCACAAAAGGGTTATGACTTTGTTTTGATGGCCGATAACATGAGTGTCTCTCTTGATGGCTGGGCTAATTGGATAGTTTTTCAAACACTATTTTGGTGACGAGATTCGGCTAAATGTGAGAAGATTCTAAAAATAGCCTGATGTCGTATCCCCACTACATCCCCTGACTATCATCTCGCACAATTTACAAACACCAGTGGGGTGTTTATGATCTCAACATAAGTTGGCTTTTTGTACTCTCATCAAGAGTGGGGTGTTCAAGATTTTTAACACTAGTAGGGTGTTCATAATCTCTCAACACCAGTAGGGTGTTCATAGTTGTTTGGTATGATAATCTTGTGGCTTAATTTGAACACATAAATTGATTTATGATTTGTTTCAGAAAATTCAAGTAAAAATCTGTGAAATAGACTTTTATCAATTGGAAACATAGGGACCATTGATGTGAAATCCGAAATCGAGATTGATAATGATCACAAGATGCTCCGAGAAGGTAGAAATGTGAATAACCTTTTATTTCTTATGATGAAAGCAAAAGGGGATACATCTTTATCGTGGCGAACTATCTTGACATTTATTTGGGGTTATGCTTATTGACTTCCACGAGTTTGCAGCGGGTTGTTGTTGACATTTAAACGATCTCCTCTTATTCAAACTTCAACCATCCGACGTTCACCATGTCTTGAACCCTTATCTTCAGAGTGTTCCAATTTTCCACTGAATGCCCTTGGACTCCGGAATGGTAGTCGTAATGCTTATCTAACCTATACCACCTTGGAAATGGAGGTTGCACAGTCTCGCCTGGAATAGGAATGATTAGACGATCATGGAGTAATCGAGGAAAGAGTTCGGTATACGTGACCGGGATAGGGTCAAATACCCTTTTTGCTTTCCTTGGGATACTAAAATCTCGATTGGCACTTTGTCGTGGTACTGGTGTGGGATTTTGGATCGTTGATTTCATGAAGTTTGGAGGCCGCAATACTGGGGCTTGATTCTTTTGAAAATTGTTTCTTCGTGGTTTCTCTTTTACTTTTTTTTGTGGGATTAATATACCTCTTCTTCCTTTCTCTTGTTTCGCCTTAGTCTCGCGGAGCCTTCTCGTATTTCCATCTTTCCTTGCTTGATCCCTTTTTCTATCATTTCATCGATAATGAACAGATCAACAAAGTTAGTCGTGGTAATTCCTACCATGTTGTTGTAGTAGGGAGGCTTCAGTGTGTCGAAGAAGATTGACACCATTTCTTTCTTTAATAGAGGATCTTGACAATCTATAGCTTTTGTGCGCCACCTGTGGGCGTATTCACGGAAAGATTCTTTCTCTTGTTTTTCCATATTACGCAAATCCTCCCTATCTAGAGCTAAATCTTGGTTATGCTTATAGTGTCTGAAGAATGCATCAGCCAGATCTTGCCATCTCTTCACCTTTGATCTTTCGAGTTGCATATACCATCTTAGAGCTGGACCACTTAAGCTATTCTGGAAGCAATGTATCATCAATTTTTCATCCCGAATATGATTAGCCGTCTTGTTGCAATACATAACCATGAGGTTTCTGGGGGCAAGTAGCACCTTCATACTTTTCGAACTCTGCCATTTTGAATTTGTGAGGTATTATCACGTTTGGAACCAGACATAGTTGCAATGCATCCGTGGGCCCGTATGACTCTGTTCCTTCTATAGCTCTTATTCGTTCATCAAGCCATTCAAGTTTTTCTTTTGATATGGCATCGATCACAATTTCTTTTAACTTTCCTCTCCCTTGCGAGTCATCGTGTTTTGATGATCCAGTGTTATCTTTATCAAGCTTCTCGGGTATAATAATGAATTTGTTTCCCAAACTGCCCCATTGGGTGGCTCGCCATTATCGTCATCGTCAAGTGACATTTCTTCGCTATTGGTTGCTACGTCTTTCTTCTTTGCTGACATCATCCCTATCAGCAAATTTAGTTGATTTTTCACCTCGTCGACACCTGCTAGCTTTTGATCGAATCCATATAGCTTTTCATCAAATCCAGCTAACTTTCCTTCAACATCGCCCACCTTATTTTGGAATGCATCTGTAACATCCCGTTCCGGCAAAACCCATATTTCGATCGCTAGAAAGTTTGCGATTTAAAATCGAGCATTTCGACACTATTTCAGCGAAAATCGGATTATCGATGGATCGGATAAGTATACGTATTAATTATATATATATATATATTATTAATTAAGCGGCCGGCATATATATATAAAGCCTTTCCACTGTACCTTTTATTCTCACACCATCATCATTTTTCCATTTCTCCACCGAGAAAGAACAGAGAGAGTTTGAGAAACAGGGCGCGCAGGGGAGAGAGCAGGAAAATTTCCGTAGCTCAAATTCTTGAGCTCTACTGATCCAAAAATCCCGTAAGTAATGCCTAATTCATCTATACATCGTGATTTATCGATTTAGAGCTTTAAAACGAGTTTTTGGTTCAGGAATTTCTTGAATTCCCGATAAGCCAAATTAGGGTTTCGGAGTATCCGGAAGCCGGATTGAGCCCAAATTTCATATACGAGCTTCCTGCAGCGAGGTAATCAATCCCCTAGTTCTAATCCCTGAATTTCGGCTATTATTTAGGCCGGGGGTCCAAACCGCTGAATTTAGCTCCGGCCAGGGTTTGATGTGTTTTTATCGAGAATTTGACCTGGAGCCTAGAACTAATATTTACGGGGATACTGCAGGGGATATTAGGACAGTCTCGGATTTTAATTCGGGGTTTGTTCGTGAAATTGACGTTTTAGTACGGGAAGCTTAAATCGGTGTTTGAACAACCAGAACTGGTGAGGGATTAGCACGGCATACCGGGTTTGTCGTATCACGATAATTATATTGATGCTTAGAATTGACCTAGGTGAACTAGAATGGCATGATTAGGGGTGTATGGACTTTTGTGCTATATGTTGAACCCTGGATTGCTGTATGATATTATTGACTTGCCCTAATTGATATGAACCTTGTTTAAGTTGATGATATGTGTATATGTTGTGTAACTGTGTAAGTTGTGACGATTATGGTATGTATAAGTTTGGTATGCAGTTGTGTAGTATGAAACTGTGACTATGGCTATGAAAGCCAATGCTTATGGTTGTGAGTATATATGTTTGTGATGAATTATTTTGCAGGATAAGTTGCAAGAACTGTTAGCCCATTACGCGAGTAATTCATGTCGAAATTTTATTTAGGTAAATTTTGATAATTAATGTAACACCCGAGATTAATTCCGCTGCAATTGTATGAACAATATGATTAGGCAAAACGTATAGGGTAGGGTTTTACAGTTTGGTATCAGAGCTGGTTAGTTTTCTGCATTATGGGTATGTTACTTTCACTCTTGAAGACTGATCACCCTCGAAAGGGGAGGGAGTACTCCATACCTGTACCTGCACTTAACTTTCCAGGATTTGGACCAAAGGTGATGATGTGTTGCATTGTCAGTTGCATATGATTAAGCATGATTTTGAGTATTTGAAGGAATCTTGAAAATTTTATGGTTTAAGAGATTTTTGAAAATATGTGGAGTTTTTATCTTGTTGTCCAAGTAATGATTTTGGTAGAAATTTTTAATGGTGTGTGGATCAAGTTATGGTCAATATTTCCTTGTAACTCGCACAGAAGTTGTCCTAGAAATCCTACTAACCAATCGAGAAGCATGATGGCTAGCTATGCAATGCAGTTGAGTTTAGGCTATGCTAACATGGTGAGTTTTGATGGTAGATATTTAAATAGAGATATGAATCTTGATGATGTTGTGGTAACCATTTTATAGGTTGGTATGACCTTGTGTTAGTGGCAACCTACTTTGTAGGTTAACAATCTTGCTTAATAAGTTATGTTTTGAACTTGCTGATGTGCTTTTGTTGTGATAGCCCAGTATAGGTTTTTGAAACCTAAACATGGGAACTTGAGGTGTTATGTGTTACTTTCTAGGTTATGAATTGCCTAACCTAAGAGTTAGGTAATGACTTTATGTATGATAGACCATGTTAAGGGTAAGTAAGCGGACTTAAGGTATGACTCAAGGTTAGATTTCGGGGACGAAATCTTTTAAGGAGGGGATAATTGTAACATCCCGTTCCGACAAAACCCATATTTCGATCGCTAGAAAGTTTGCGATTTAAAATCGAGCATTTCGACACTATTTCAGCGAAAATCGGATTATCGATCGATCGGATAAGTATACGTATTAATTATATATATATATATATATATATATATATATATGGCAAAGGCTAGCGTACGCCCGGGCGTACCCTAGCCTACCGTACGCCCGTTGAGTTTTGCAATTTAGACAATAAATTAACCGGAGTTTGGGGCACGATACTATACCCTAACCCCTAATGGGTGAACCCCAGTCCGCAATTCACTAACCCAAATAATAATATTCATTTAATCTTGAAATGAAAATCAACGGTTCTGATTCGTCGAAATTATTGTTGATTTTCATTTTAAGATTAAACGAATCTCACGATTTGGGTTAGAAAACTAGGGACTAGGGTTTATCCATTAGTGGTTAGGGTATAGTATCATGCCCAAAATTCCGGTTAATTCCTTATCTAAATAGCAAAATTCAAACGGGCGTACGGTAGTCTAACGTACGCCCGGGCGTACGCTAGCCTGAACCATATATATATATATATATATTATTAATTAAGCGGCCGGCATATATATATAAAGCCTTTCCATCGTACCTTTTATTCTCACACCATCATCATTTTTCCATCTCTCCACCGAGAAAGAACCGAGAGAGTTTGAGAAACAGGGCGCGCAGGGGAGAGAGCAGGAAAATTTCCGTAGCTCAAATTCTTGAGCTCTACTGATCCAAAAATCCCGTAAGTAATGCCTAATTCATCTATACATCGTGATTTATCGATTTAGAGCTTTAAAACGAGTTTTTGGTTCAGATATTTCTTGAATTCCCGATAAGCCAAATTAGGGTTTCGGAGTATCCGGAAGCCGGATTGAGCCCAAATTTCATATACGAGCTTCCTGCAGCGAGGTAATCAATCCCCTGGTTCTAATCCCTGAATTTCGGCTATTATTTAGGCCGGGGTCCAAACCGCTGAATTTAGCTCCGGCCAGGGTTTGATGTGTTTTTATCGAGAATTTGACCTGGAGCCTAGAACTAATATTTACGGGGATACTGCAGGGGATATTAGGACAGTCTCGGATTTTAATTCGGGGTTTGTTCGTGAAATTGACGTTTTAGTACGGGAAGCTTAAATCGGTGTTTGAACAACCAGAACTGGTGAGGGATTAGCACGGCATACCGGGTTTGTCGTATCACGATAATTATATTGATGCTTAGAATTGACCTAGGTGAACTAGAATGGCATGATTAGGGGTGTATGGACTTTTGTGCTATATGTTGAACCCTGGATTGCTGTATGATATTATTGACTTGCCCTAATCGATATGAACCTTGTTTAAGTTGATGATATGTGTATAAGTTGTGTAACTGTGTAAGTTGTGACGATTATGGTATGTATAAGTTTGGTATGCAGTTGTGTAGTATGAAACTGTGACTATGGCTATGAAAGCCAATGCTTATGGTTGTAAGTATATATGTTTGTGATGAATTATTTTGCAGGATAAGTTGCAAGAACTGTTAGCCCATTACGCGAGTAATTCATGTCGAAATTTTATTTAGGTAAATTTTGATAATTAATGTAACACCCGAGATTAATTCCGCTGCAATTGTATGAACAATATGATTAGGCAAAACGTATAGGGTAGGGTGTTACAGCATCCATGACGAGCTCAACTTTGGATCTTGTCAAATACTTAAAGACGTGACTCTTTCCTCGTGGATGAATGATTTTAGGAACCCTGAACCAACTTCAAAATTGACAAATTATTTTTCATTTTTATTATGGATGTATATGCATGGTACTTATGCAAGTGTAAATGATGTATGAATGTAAATTTATGTTTCATCATGGATGCGTTTTTAATCTTTTTATGATAAGTTGTAAATGAGTGAATGAAAATGTTACGAGAGAATGATGCTTATGAGTTTTGAAAACGTTTTTCATTCATACACTTACGCAGTTTAACGAGTGAAAGATAAAGCGCATGTCATAACATCATAAGCAAACATACATTTAGGTTAGAAACACATATCATTACATCATTGCCCTATTTAGGTAGGCCTAGGGCTTTCGGGTGGCATAATGAGTTTTAGGGTGGTTTCGGGATAATTTTGGACAATTTAGGGAGGCCTCTATGGTTATTATATGCTGGCAGAGGAATTTATAGAAATTTGGCTCCCAAGTTGTATCCTACCGTAGCCCTTTCGAACTGGCTGGATACCTCGAGATCATCCTAAGATCCGAGTTCAACTTGGTTAGAAAGTTTTGCGTGACTACCTCTACTGTGGATGTCACGGTACTCCTAATTTTGGACAATTTAGGGAGGCCTCTATGGTTATTATATGCTGGCAGAGGAATTTATAGGGATTTGGCTCCCAAGTTGTATCCTACCGTAGCCCTTTCGAACTGGCTGGATACCTCGAGATCATCCTAAGATTCGATTTTCTAAAGGGATAGCTCGGGCATAGAGCTTTTATGCATGAATGCGAAATTTAAGTTGCGGTATAATTGCACAAATAAATAGTAAACACCCAACACGTAATAGAAAGTTAGAAAAACTTATCAAACTTATTTATGTAGATTGACTCTCGAAGTATCCCCAGCATAGTCGCCAACTGTCGCAACCGTCCTTCCGGGGGTTGTCAGGGTCGTCGCGTTTGTTTTTTGGGAGTCGCCATCGATCGTACTTTGAGTGGATCGAACACTCTTCGAATCGGCTCTAACCTTAGGGTCAAAACCGAGATATGGTCTGCGGTTAAGAGATTCGGGTTTGGGAGTACGGTTACGTGTGAGTAAGTGAAATCACACCCCACAACGCCCTAAATCGGTACTACTTAAGTCGATAAATTTTATATGTGTTGGGTATTATTTTGGAAATTATTGTGTATTTTAAAATCCCACTGGATCATTAATATATTGCTTATGACTTAATTAATACGTCAATGGACATTTAGTTCATGATTAGGTATTTTAGATATTTTTAGGGCCTTACTCGACCACTAAATAAATTAAATCGTATTAATTGTGATTTAATTATACGCTCACT